CCTGCTCCTAAATGTTTAGGTTACACATTAAGGACTTGTCTGTATATGTATGTGTGTGTGTGTGGTATTTGAGTATGTAAGTGTGTGTGTGTGTGTGTGTGTGTGTGTGTGTGTGTGTGTGTGTGTATGTGAGAGAGAGAGAGAAAGAGAGAATGTATGTGTAAGTGTATGTGTGTAATGAGTGAATATCCATATGATATGAGTTGTGTGAATATATGTAGTGTGTAGGTGTGTAAGACTATGTGAGTATGTGAGAATATGTGTATATGTGTGTGAGTACATGTGTGTCAGCATGTACAAGTATATATGTCTGAGTGTGTGTGTGTGTGTGTGTGTGTGAATGTGTGTATACACATTACTGTGTATTAATGCAGGCGCTCACAAGTGGAGATCAGTAGACAATCTCAGATTTCGTCCCTCACTTTCTACCTTATATGAGACAGGTCTCACGTTGATTTGAGGGAATTCTCCTTTCTCCATCTTTCATCTAAGTTGTAGGAATGTAGGCATCCCACTTTTAGATGGGGCCTGGGGATTTGAACTCAGGTTTTCAGGCTTGCACAGAAGGTACTTTTACTGAATGAGTCATCTTCCTAGACCTTGTTTGTCTTGGTATGTTTCTGCATGGTTTCCCAAACAACAACAACAACAACAATAATAATAATAATAAGAGCTACCTTGACAAAATGTGATTACTTGACACAAAAGACTGGTTTTGACAGTGTCTTAGTCACACCTCTGATATTCTGAATCAGCCACATCCAACAAAATACAACTTTAAGAACGTGCACGATGACAAAGTGTACAAAAGGGACTGCAGCCAGGCGCCTGCTCATGAAAGCAACCCTGGCAGTGCTGTGTCAATCATCAGGACTGTTCCACTGACTGTGTGATTAGATAAAACTGTATACATTGTTTTGACAGGCCTGATCAAAACTTGCAGAATTTTGTTAATGTGATTTCCTTAATCTTGGGTGGGATAAAACAATGTATTAAGTGGCAATGAAAATGCCCCTTATTAAAATGTGAGTACTTTGTATGTTCCTGCGTCCCTTACAGCATATGGTCTTGTTGAGGTACAAAGTCCTCAAAAAGCCAGTCGTCCATAAAGAGGGGAGAGGCTGATACTTTACAAGTTATGAGAGATGGTTTTGAATGTACCTCATCCACTCCGCAAGGATAACTGTCTTGGGCCTGCTGATCTTGGCTACCTGCCCTGTTCATTCTACTCAGGTAATGGCTTGGCTTTCTTGCTTGTGGGTTCTGTCTTTCCTTCCACCTCATCATGTACATGGAGCTTCTCAAAGTTTCCTGTGCATGCACATCTGGCACTCTTCCTAAAATGCAGATTCTAATTCAATAATGCTGTGGGGTCTGAGACGCCCCTGCCCTGATGGACTGTCCAGCAATGGCCATGTTTCTGGGATCACAGGACACTGAGAATGACAGAGCGAGCACTGAGATATCACAGGACACTGAGAATGAAAGAGTGAGCACTGAGATATCACAGGACACTGAGAATGAAAGAGCGAGCACTGAGATGAAGGACAGCAGAGGGGCAAGGCTCCCTAAAATCAGAACCTCCAGTGTAGCTTCAGGCCAGGACTCAAGAGTTAACATTTCTAAGGATTTCCCAGGTAATGCTGTTGGTGCTGGTCTCCCAGATGAGCAAGGAGAGCAAAGACAGCACACAAGACAGTTCCACATCTGTTGTAGGATAGCAGCCACGTGGGGAGTGTCTCACAGACTTGTCTTCTAAGGGAAACTCTGAGCTGTGAAACCATTATCTAGTCTGGAACCCCTCACACGCTATACGTATTATGGGAGGAAAAGTCAAAAAAAGAAAACCCTTTCATTTCCACGGTGGGTTTTCTTTTGCATTGGAGTCCTGGGGAGCAAATGCAGCTGCCCATCCATGTGAAACAGCCATTTGCCCCTGAATCACACCCCTCTGTTCTTTCCCATTGGGATCGCAGCTTCTCTGACTTTTCTGAGCTTCAACAGGGAGAAGGTGACTCTATGTGAATTTTAGGTATGAATTCCAGGTAAAACTTAAGTAGCTCAAGTGTAGCCTTGAAATTTAATTTTTGAATTCATAGTGTCATGCTATGTGGTTTAAGTTCCTAAATATCAGAAATAAAATTCCTCAGTTCCAGGTATTGGCTGCTGCACATTGACAACTGAAGACAAATTTCAAATACTATGTATTCAAATTTTCGGCCCCGATGTTGACCAAAGGAAGGACATGCTTGCTCCTGATTCCCCCATCCCTGAAGCCAGTGAATGACTTGTAACTGTAGATTGTTTATCAAAAGGTACCTTATTCCCATTCATTAATAACTGAAGTAATGCAGATTTTTAAACAATTAATCTTTACACAACATAGATTATGAATACATCAGAAACACAAGGGACATGTCAGAGGGTTTTTATACTGATTCTCAGACACATGTACACATATATATTTAATGGCTATTGTTGTTGGTTTAAAGGATTTGAAGTAATATAGTGTAGCTTTTATCTTTTATGCAGATAATATCTATTTCAGAAGGTGTTTATATATATTATATGTTCACTTATTTGATTAGCCCCTGCACACTGTGTGAGTCTATCCATTCCTAGAAAGTTTTCTCCTTCTATACTTTACCACTCCTCCCTAATTAGAAAGACAAATGCGGCGTCTGGTGGCATACAGTGTTCCCATCAATGTCAGAGGAGCCGATGACAGGCTGGGTCATTGCCCCGCTATGGACCTCTCCACGACTGTCATCTCATTTAGAATTTCTAAATGCCACTTTGACTGGTAAACTACAAAAGGAAAAAAAAAAATTCCTCGCACCTAAAACACCTGTTTCGATCTTTTTTCAAATGACATTTCTACAAGGAAATGTACACACAGGCTTCAAGTTTTGTGCAATACCTTTTAAACATTGGGAATTAAAATGCAGTATGTTAGGGTGTGTTGGAGGAAGCTAGGTCAAAGGAAATGCATCATCTGATCTCTCCCGATCCTACCATGGGATTGTTTCCTCATGAAATATTTGAAGCCTAAATCAAAAAGAGAAAAACTGGATTGTATGGCCCTCATATATGTTGAAATATAGAAAACATTTTAAACTACTAATTTATTTTTTTTTTTATTTTTTTTTTTTTGGTTTTTCGAGACAGGGTTTCTCTGTGTAGCTTTGCGCCTTTCCTGGAACTCACTTGGTAGTCCAGGCTGGCCTCGAACTCACAGAGATCCGCCTGGCTCTGCCTCCCGAGTGCTGGGATTAAAGGCGTGCGCCACCACCGCCCGGCATAAACTACTAATTTATTAAATCAACAAGTAACTCAAAATTTGTACGAAATACAGTATTTTATTAGCAAACTAAATTTGCAGTCTGGTAGGGTTTCAGAGATTTAATTCATCATACAATTAATATTTAAATTTTGATGCAAAAAGAGAATTACTCGGAGTTGCCTAAATAAATCCAACAATAAATATAATTCCTCTGAGATAAATTTTAATAATGCCTTGAAATAATTGAAATAGTTAAAACTGCTTAATATAGATTAATTTCCCACACTTTCTAATATCTCTTCCGATACTTCAGGGAAACTTCTCTTGATAAATGAGAAATATGCTCGTGGATATCAATTGTACTTTTTAATTTAGACATAAATTTTCTCATCTATAATTCAGTAAGTATAAGAGCAAGATGAAGACAAACAACACATATAAACTATTGTTAAGCTAATAATTGTAACTGCTCATAGAATATTCTGTAACTATACTGAAGAATATAACTTACTATAGCATTTGATGAATTTCCAAATTGGTACTATTAGATCCTAAAATGTTGAAACCTATATTGTCAGAATCACATTTACTTCAAAAAGTAAAAATTCTGTCACTATTCCAAGTTATCTTGCAATGACTATAAAAATCATACATTTTGGGAAATTTACAAAATCAAATCTGGCTTATTAAATCCATATTTCATTTTATTCCTATATCCAATTTCACAATAAAAAAAACACCTTTCCTAACTTAGATAATAAGACTAGTTACAAAACCTAAATGAAACAGAAGTCTATTTTGCCAATAGAAAGTAGTAGATTTAAGAAAGTCAGTTTAGTTTAAATGTAAAGCTTCTGTGAGATGTAACTTAACACATAACTGTAGTTTTCCACAAATGACTAATAAAATATCATTTAAATACATAGTTTCTTTATAAATCAATAAAATAATATCTCATTAAAATGTCACATCTTCATTTATCTACTCATGTTAACATATTTATGAATTCACAATTCAATAATATTTGGTAGGTGTTGCTTCAATGGATTAAAATTTTTAATGCATTTCTACCCAAAATTATTTCTAGTCTTCCAGCTTTTCTTTGAGTAATTACCAAGGTAGACTGAGTATTAAGTTCCAGTATGGCCACTAACATGAGTGTTGACTCATGGTAAGTGCTAAACCCTATACCAGTTACAGCTTGACACCCTTAAGGCTGATTGGAAAAATGCTTGAATATAAAATTGAAAGCCCCTAAAATCGTGGATCAGTATCAAGTTAAGTAGCTGTTATCCTTCCCACAGTACTTATATATAAATTTGTAAATGTAAAAGTAATACCACACTTAGTTGGACAAATAAAATATATCTGTGAGCCTACCTCAGCCAGCCTATGGAAATCAGGATTCCAGTGTTTTGATGGAATCCTTAACCAATCTCTACAGTTCAAGGCACTGTGAGCACAATGTTCTGACCCATGTCATTCCAACAGAAGCTCCAGGAGCCTGATGATAACACAGGGTAGAGATCTGAGGACTAAGCTTTGTAGGCTCCTGAGTGAAGAGGTGCTCCTCGAGGGAATGAAAAGTGTAGCAAGAATCAAACTTGTTTAGACACACAAAAGGATACACCTACAAATACTTAGAAATCCATCTGAAGCTACTCTGGGAGAAAGAAAACAATATCTTGCCACAAAAGAAAATATTTTAGAAGCAGAATTCTCCCCACGACTTTGAAGAAAATATTTAATCTGTATATACACAATGCAGATTCATGTTTAAAGCTTCCGCAATACCCAGTTCCACCATGGAGTCTCGCATAGCGTGCAAAAGAGCTTACATTTCAAACATCACCAGTTTCAGTGGTAGGCACAGTCCAGTCCTGAGAGGGCAATGTGTACATGCACAGAAAGAAAAGGAACAATGACAATTTCCTGTCTAGACAACTTGGAAGTTCCGGAGACAAGAAGAATTGGAAGAGCTGTGGTTGGTAAAGCATCCTTATCTATAAATGACTTCACCTTCAATAAGCAAAGTCTTTTTACATCCAGTGACACCTCTGTAGTCATTTGCAGATGTCGCTCTCTTAACCAGAATGATTATTTCTTCACACATGTCTTTGCTAATGTCCTAAATTTCGGTTCCAATTGATCTAAAAACTCCAGCCCTTCTTCCTCCTGCCGATCGCTGCAACAGCCTACAGAGCCAGCCATGGAGCCTTTGCCTTCGTAGTTATATGAACGAACGTAGTCTTCGCAACGCTTGTGTTCCTCATCTTGTCCACACAGATACACCTTCTGTGTGGAGAAAGAGCACAATTGGTTATGTCTTTTAAAAGACACCTAAACAGACTAGCATAAAAATGATTCTTGGATTTACCTTTTACTGTTTAATTTTTAATCAGAGTGTGTCCTCTAATGGATTCCTACATATAAAAAATGCACATGATTGGTCTATATTATATTCATTTTTAAATTATAGCAAATAAATAAATGGTCAGAGTGAACACATTTGTAAGAACTAAAGCTATGCATATATCACAGAAATAACTTATAACTTCCCATTTGAATGAAGGTGTATTTAGTTGAAATTTACCTCAAGGCTTCTTCATACATGTGGAGAAAACCAATGTACTCTGGGGTTCTTGCATTTATACTGTTATATAGTTGTAAGAGTCTAATACATTAATGTTATCTATAACATGTGTAACATATACAACATGTTATGTGGCTATAATTATCTAACACACTAATTTGGCTTACATTAGCCTGAGTAATCTGAAACAAACAAGGAAAACACTCAGAATCCTGAGATAGAACCTAAGATTAAAGCTCACAAACATATCTGGTTGATTTAGGTAGGCAGGATTTTGTAATCACCTGTAGCATTCCAGCACACTGGCAAAATACCAGCAATTTGTGATCTGGCATTTTTATACTATAACCAATTTTTCACAGATTTTTTTCTGATAATATTTAGTGAAGAAGACATCAGTCTTTCAATATCCCAAAGGCATTCACACAAATTAGTCCTAAAGACTCATAAACCATATTTTTTAAATTGAACTTAGAATGAGTATTTTGCTCTGAGTTTGCTCCTGACATCAGTGTCTATGCTGGTACAGGAGATGGAAAGGTGTGTTTTAGGTGTATGAGGGGTACTTTAGGATATCCTGGTTTATAAACCATGTTGGGATTTCATGTAGTGGGCACCTGAAGACCTGAGGACTTACTTCACCAAGCCGGGGTTGAGTGAAACTTTGCCAGTCTGTGTATGCATATCGGCCAGTGTCTGCTGCTCCCAGCACAGCTCCCTTGCTGGACTCCAAGGTGTGGTGGCCACCTCCTTTGTTGGAATCCAAAGTGTAGCCTCCTTTGACCATCTCAAAACTTTGCTGTGTTTTGATTCCTTGGCCACCAAGAGTCCCAACAGATGCGCTTGTGTCACAGATGTTGGATGTCTGTGTGGGGAGTCTAATATTTGCCTCCTAAATATAGAGTTAGAAAATGAATCAATGGCATTGAAACCAACTCTTCCCTGCTATAGATAAGTCACATGCTATCTATGTCCCTCACATGTAAAATCAGGACAATGTTAAGAACTGTATCATGGGCATACTGGGTCAAACTCTGCTGCCCCAAGAATTCACACACTGAGGCCCTCACTCCAGGATCACTGCAGAGTCAATCACATTAAGCTTCAAGGAAGCCATACAAGATTCGGTGATTATCTGATCTAATATAACCAGTGCTCTTACTAAAAGGGAAATTTGGATTATATGACACAGGAGATAAGACCATGAAATTGCTTATGTGGCTACAAGACAAGGGACAAGAAGTAAATAGAGCTCAGGACATCTGTCCAAAAGGCCTTTGGAGGACACATGGTCCTATCAATATCTTACCTCTGATTTCTACGTTTTATTGTTTGAGTCACTCAGTGTGACTCAAATACATAAGCCAATATAAGTGGACATTGAAAGACAACATGCAGGGCACTTCAGTTTCTGCTTGGTGCAGTAAGGGTCAGTAAGTATTACATTTTGCTATTACTGTGGAGTTATCAATTATGTTCACTAGATCACCATGAGATTCAGTGGGGTTTTAATTATAACTTACCGTCACTTCCTCTCCTGGTCCTTCAGTATTTGATACAATTAAATTTTGCTGGGCTACATCATCTGGGAAACATTTCTTTACTGTTCTCTTAGTAGTAGTCACACAGAAACATGTAAACAGAATACCTAAAAAATGAGAAAGCAAAGCAAAATAATACTGTTTTGCTTTCTGGTAGATATTAAAATAATTTGACAAAAACAAAAAAATGTAAAAAATGAAATAATTTGAAAACAGGATTTTTAAAACCTTCTGTACAATTTTTCAGAAATCTTCACTGTCTCATAAGTAACTTCTGAAGGATTAAACATGACCTCTCGAACTTACCTAAACAGTTTTAATCTGCTATTATTGCTGTTTCATCTATGACTCAGAACCCCACTTACAGATGAGGTACAAGTTTTTTAAAGGGCATATGTGCCAACAATCACACATGTCATCAATATAAAGAACTGCTGCACATCTTTCTAGACTACCGTAGCTGAGACAAACTGTCCCCAGTGGTCCATATGTTAATGTCTTGGTCCCTACCTCAGAGTACCATTGAGAGGCAGTGGAATCTTCAAAGGTGGGGCCTTAATGAGAGGAAGTTGCATCATTGGAGACATGCCTTTAAAGGGAAGAGTGGAACCCTAACCTCTTCTTGTTCTCTTTTTGGTTTCTAGCTGTCATTAAGGTAAGTAGCTTTGCTTGACTGTGTGCTGCTGGTCACAGGCACAACACAACAGAGTCTGTTGGTCATAGGCCAAGAGCTCGGAAACTGAAGTAAAGCAAACCTCTTCTCTGTGTTAGTTGTTTTCTCCAGGATTTTTGTTAAAATGATGGAAAATTAACACATAAGTACTACATAACACTTGAATTAATACACTTTGGATCATGATACTTACACAGTAGCAATGCAGCGCCTAGGACCATGGAGAGAATGGCCCATTTCCCAAGGACTACATTTGGTTTAGCATCCCTCTCCTCCCTAGCACTCATTCTGCATTCTTCTGGAACTGTGCAGTCACACACTCTCACTGATAGCATATGTTTTGCAGAGAAACCATGTCTGTCTTGTATTTGGATTGGCACAGAATAGAAGTTATAATTGAGATTGTGTCGTTGACGAAGAATGGCACGTTTACCTAAAGGGATAGACAGAGTGTACATTAACATGAAACTCCAACAGCAACATTGTTCCTACTTGGGCTACCTTCAAGGAATTAACCTGCAATCAAAACTCTAATGATTCATTTTCCTTTCGTAAAAAATGATTTTAATGCTTCAGAAAACTAAGAAAAGGGTTGAAAATTACTTTACATTAAAAATAGACTGATCTCCAGGCTGGGAGTGGTGGTACACGCCTTTAATCCCAGCACTCAGGAGGCAGAGGCAGGTGAATCTCTGAGCTCAAGGCTAACATGGTTTACATAGTTAGTTCCAGGAGAACCACGGCTATGTAGAGAGCCACTGTCTCAAAAAAATTAAAAAAAGAAAGGATAAAAATAGACTGATCTATATTTAAAATGTTATTCAGATGATTAAAATTGATTTTTCAATTTTCTTAAAGGATATTCAGAACAAAAGTCTAAGTGTAACATACATAATATAGATAGATGATAATTGATACATAGACACATGCATACACAGGTAGATAATTGTTCATTTATAGGCATTAGGTAGATAACTGATTAACAAATAGATGATAGATATATAGATAAATGATAGATATATGGTAGATAGATATATGATAGATGACAGAAGATAGATATTAAAGACTTATTATTTTTTCCAAGATCAATAACTTCCTACAGTATGTATGTATTTATTATGACTAACCAAAGTGGAAGCAAAGGCCTTCAGTAATCATGAACCAAGCTTGCTCACAGGATTTAGAATAAGCACTTACCATCCTGTGGTTCTAGAGTCCAGTGTTTGCTGGCAGAGTTATCCAGAAAGAACTGAAAAGGTGGACCATTATCAGGCCCATCTAGATCGACAGGTTCCAAAACAGCATAATCCTTCTCCTGCTGACAAATGGTCAGGTCTTTGTCAATCTGTGGTGGGTGGTCATTAAAATCTTCCAGAAGAACTACCAGTGTTCCTGTGCAAGAGCGGCCAACTAGGATAAATAAAGCATAAGTTACTCCCATAGCAAAGCAAACTGAGATCCACTCAAGTCTGTATTTACAAACATTTATCATTTAATGTTTTTTTTTCCTTATAAGATTCTCAGTTTGAAGCATCCTGATAAAAACAGAATGAGAGATGCTTGACATTACTTGGAAGTTTGTTAGTCAAAACCAGAGTTGAAAGTAAACTCTTAGAAGATTTTCCAAGACACCAAAGGCTGATTTTCCAGTTCCTGGAAATGGCAGAACATCATGAAGAGACAGCACCATACATTTATCTAGTTCAACAACTTACTTTAAATTATCTGTTTATAAGTGTCAGTGAGTGGGGATTATCAGTCACAGAGCTAATAAGTACGAGGGGCAGATAAAATATAAATTCTTAGCATTTCTAGAAAGAGCCTCTGAAAAGTTGGCAGTTCTCATAACCATGTTTTCCATATCTGCAAGCTCACTATATTACAAATCAGCCCCTGAATGAATAGAGTTCTTTATTATTAGAAAGAGTTCACATTGTTTCTTCTCAAGTTGTGATATGCCCATTAGCTCCCAACATTGTGTGTGTTACTTTTGGAATCAAATAAAATACTTACTACTTTAATATGAGAGCTACTCAATAATAACTTTAAGACTTTTTTAAGAAGCTAAAAAAAAAGAGAAGGTATTTTATAAAGTTTGAGCTCAATTGTTCCAAGTACACCTCAAAGTTCCAAAGTCCTCAGTAGTGAATTTCACAATCTAGACCTGGGGGTTTATGAGTCTCTCAACCATAGAGGAATAGCAAATCTAGACATTTGCATTATTTGTGACTCATTGGGAAAAAGTACTTGTCACTCTTTCAGAGGACCACAGTTTAGATCACAGCATACATGTCAGGTAACATGAACAAACAGGTCATTCTTCAGTGACAGGGTTCTAATGGGGAGGACCAGAGGATGAGAAGGTAAAGAAGATAGGAAACCTGGAATCAGGAGTTATTGCACAAGCTGTTTTATGCCAAGCAAGTTTACTAAGAAGTACAGTGTCTTATATACAGTTTTTAGGGGAAAAACTGGACATAAAGCAATGTTGCACAAGGCAAACATAGAATATCTCACAAGTGTCAGAGCAAGCACTCAGAGACCTTGGGACTGGTGACTCAGTCTCTTTAGGGGGAAAAGCCAAGTTTTCAGGAACTGAGAACTTAACTCCTTTGACACCCTGGTTCCAGCCCTAGCCTCCATCTTGCCAATTCTGTCCCTGGGCAAGAACACAGATCTAGGTTCCCTTTGTCTTTTCATTAGGGTCTCTGAGAAAGCCTTGGGTCAGCATGGCTCTCAACAGTCAGACCTCTCACAACTGCCTGTAACTCTAGTCCCAGGGAATTAAATGCCTTCTTCTAGCTTTCTAAAGACAGTGCATTCATATGCACAAACACATACATAAATTTTCAAAATCTGCATCAAGCATAATGTACCAAATTCTGATCTTGATACTTGATAAAGGAAAAGTTTATCAATGGAAAAAAAATGAGCTCATAGCCAATCTAGACAAAAAGGAATACAAATGAGGAAGAGAGAATGTACATTTTCATAGTAACAATGCAGCATATGTGATAATTAGAATATTAATTCCAGTGTATACAAATGCTTAAATTGCAGTACTAAGACTCAAACATGGACTAATGGGAACAATAAAAAAGCTGTCATTGCTATTCACTTTAATAACTTAAGGAACATGAGTTTGGGGGCCAGGCTTGGAGGGAACACTGGTGTTCTCATGTTCTAGGAGGAAGGAGTGTAAGACATGTCTTCTAAACTGATAGCAGAGAAATTAGCCTGACAGGCAAGAATAAGGCACACGAGAAATACAAGGAATGAACTGGATTCTAAAAAATCATTAGGACTTTCTAAATTGTCATCTAGAAATATCTTTGAGCATCAAAACAAAATTTTCATTATATGTTACTCATGCATACATACATAGAGACAAAAATTCAAATAAACAATGTTCTTCATGTTGCCATATGATTTTCTCATTAAAGTTTGTAGCATCCTCATCTTTTCTAGAGCGCATTTAAGTTATGTATGACTCTGGGACATTGTTTGCTTGAGCTTTGCTCTTTTATGCCAACCCCATCATATCTACACTCAGTATCTTCTGGCATGAAACAACAAAGTTACTTTCTTATATTTTTTCTCTCTGTAATTTCCCCCTCTCTAAATTATAACTTCATTCTTCTTTCATCTAGTGCCAGCATTTCTATAATCTTTCCCTCTTTGTGCTACAATATGAATGCTTCTGAACTCTCCATGCATAAAGTCATCTGAACATTCCCTACTGGTAAAATTTTCATATCATAGACTTTCTTCTGAGAATACAAAGCAGTTAAACTTTCACTATTAGTAAGACCAAATCCTCATCGCATGACCCCTACTTTCCATGGTCTTGTGCTTGGAATTTAATATACAATCAACATCTAAAAGTAATTAGTAGAGAGAGAGCCCGGTTTCCCATCATAATTCTATGTGTAAGCCATTTAAATTTCATTTTTACTTATAGAAATGGCAAACATTTTAAAGAAAGAATAACAAATCACCCAGAATTATAAAGTATATTATATTAACATGTTTCTCAGCTAATGCTCTCACCATTATTCTGTAGGGTTTTTGAACTTCCAGCAAAATAACTATATAATAATAATGTGTGTTTGAGTTGTGGAGCAAAAGGAAAGAAAATATGCAGATAGGTTACTCGGTAACAACATTCACATTTAGAGGCAGTTCAGTTATTGAAACCTAGATATCTTTATCTGGGAAGAGGGTTCTTTAAGCTGCTGGTCCCTGAAGAAGATGTGGTATTTTTATCCAAAGGCAGGATGACTGAAAGGTGAGAAAACCCTTGACTTGGGAGAGTGTGCATGCGTCAGCTTGCCCCGTCTGCATAAACAGCAAGCAGCTGGCATTTTAATGACTTAAACTTTTGTCTTTCTTTCAGTAGAAATAACACTTGCTTTAAAACCATAGCAAAAGGGCCGGAGAGATGGCTCAGTGGTGAAGAGCATGTACTGCTCTTCCAGAGGATCCGAGTTCAAAGCATAGCATTCTTATCAGGTGGCTCACAACCACCTGTAACTCCAGCTCTTTGAGGAGCCAACACCTATAGCTTCTTTGGTCACCTGCACTCACATGCACATACACACACACACACACACACACACACACACACACACACAATTTAGTATAAAAAATTGTAAAAACACTATAGTCAAAATAAGGACATAATACCTGGGGAATCATTGTATGTTATTAAGCAAATTCAAGACATGTGTAGAAATAGCCTATGTTACTGTCTGGAAGCATGTTTTACACTCAGCTTGTGTATCTAAAAACAGCACAGACCTTCTTGGGTTAATCAGAGAGGCAAAAGAATTAGCTCTGTCTGAAAAGCCCAAGACCATCTTCATTCTCCTTTGTCTTACGTGGAGAAGTCCATAATCAAAGTGTAACTTTTGTTTCCTTATTTCTGTGATAATAGATTCATATAATGCATGGCATAATAGTACATGTGTACACTAAGAAACACCATGAACACATTTTGTATGCAAATATTTATTTAACCTATCTAATGTGGTTCCAGTAGGGGTTCATTTTAAGAGCTTCAAGATCACTACTTGATGGTTGACTGTATTTGAAGCAGACTCTCTAGAGAATAGATTCTAGAACTAATCTTTTGTTACTGTTGTTGTTTAACTGAAAACAGGATTTTTTTTCATACAATATATCCTGATTACTATTTCTCCCACAACTCCTCCCAGATCCTTCCTATCTTCCCACCTTCCCAAATCTATACCCTTTCTTTCTTTCTCATTAGAAAACAGTGATATAAAATAATAATAAGATAAGGTAAAATATTACAAGCCAAAATAGGACAAAATAAACAGAAAAAAGAACCAAAGAAAAAGCACAAGAAACACATATAGACTCAGAAACACACCCATTCACACACACAAAGATCCCATAAAAATACAAAACCAGAAACCAGGTATATAATATATAAGCAAAAGACCTGTAAGGTAAACATCCTGGCTAGTTTTTATGTCAACTTGTCACAAGCTAGACTCATCAAAGAGGAGGGAGCTTCAGTTGAGAAAATGCTGTAAGATCCTGCTGTAGGCAAGCCTGTAGGGCATTTTCTTAATTAGTGATCAATGGAGAGCCTTCAGCCTATTGTGGGTGGTGCCATCCCTGGGCTGGTGGTCCTGGGTTCTACAAGAAAGCAGGCTGAGCAAGCTAGTCCTTCCTCCAGGTTCCTGGAGGCACCATGCTTTTGATCATGGTGTTTCATCACAGCAATAATAACCCTAACCAAAAAAAAAAAAAATCTTCAAAAATACCAATTTGTTTTGTGTTGGCTGCCTACTGCTGAACATGGGGACTACCCTTAAGTGTGGTTTATGTTTGGATGGGAGCTCCACCTCAACCCCTGGCATCCTGGCATCCCTGTACCCAAAGAGTCTGGAATGTTTGGAAGGAGTTTGATGGAAGATCCACCTCAGCTCCCTTCCCATTTCTTTTCCTAAATCCACCCCTTCAAAGCCCACCAAACACAGCTCCTTCCCCAGAGAGGCTCAGGAGGACTCCCACAGGGGATATATGGCAGCATCCCAGAAAACAGACTGGTGGTTCTTCTGGTCTCGTTCCTGTCTCCTCTCTGTGTGGTGGGGAATCACCCGGGAGCGCTTTGCCCATTAAACCTGGGCTTTTCCTGATTCAGTCTGATTCAGTTTGTTGTGATGGTGGAGAGGCCTTCAGCTGGCCTAAAACTTATCAGTTTGTATTGCACCATGAGACTCCATTGAAGAAAGTTGTTTTTCCTATGTGGGTGATTATAGAACTAATCTTGACAATCACCAACTCCAGCAAAGGCGTGAGCCAACATTGAGTTATTTCTTTAACAGATGCTCAGAATAAACCTACCATGAGCTGGACTGTTTTAGGAGGGTTGAGCCCTTTCAGCATGTTCAAGGCATCATAATCTTAATGAAAGAGGAAGCAACCCGGAGATCCCTCAGCAGAAATGAATAGCCCAGTACTCAAAACTGGACTTTGGTCATTTACTCTCAGATGGCTTTGCTTGAGGGGTGGATAGAGAACTAAATGGGTGATCTGAGTAAGATGGGCAATCACACTGAAAACATTGTCTAGAGTGCAGAAACAGTGTCAAGTAAACAATGACTGAACTAAAATCTGACCCAGACAGCTCTTACCCCACACTTTCCTAGACACACATTCTAGACTCACGTTTTACTTTTAGAAAATGTCTCTCACCTGCATCCATCGCCACTACTGAAATATTATACTGGTTGTTCTTCACAAACTTTGACTCTCTGTCCAATACTTTGAGGGTTTTCAAGTCTCCGGTGCTTTCGTTGATTTCAAACCAGTTATCTTCATCTCCTACCTTCTGGTACCTGGGTGTTGAAGGCAAACACCAAATGACCAAAGAGGCCATTCCTACATTTGAAATAAGTTCATGCCCCAGTGAAAACGAAGGAGCTTTTAGGAAAGTGCATTACCTTATGCCTTCAGAACTGCTTGTTTCTGGGTCTGTGGCTTTGTAGCCCAGAAGCTCTTGGCCAGCTGGCAGTCCATCTTTGCTCTGAATGATTTTGACTGGTGGCTGGCACTCAGGGCCTTCATCACTGTCTTTAATTTTCACAGTGACAGTCGTGGTGCACATTGTGGGGGCTTGCCCATTGGCGGCTTTAGTGAACTGGGCTTCATTCAGAACACCGATTTGTAGAATGACTTGGCGATTGACTTCATAGTTCAATGGCTGTTCAATAAATATACATTGATCAGTCAATGTATTGTCATAAAAAAAACACTAATGATTCCAAGTTTTAATAGAAAGGAATGTCATTCTTAGTTTTAAAATGCTACTCAAAGTTGGTGCTAACGAAAGGGTCAATTATTAGCTTCTTAAAATGGTTAAAATGGACAATTTTTAAGATTCAACCACTTTCTTTCCTACTTTTGTTTTGGAAGATCCTATCTTCATCTTTTATTGTAACTTTAAACACTAATAGGAATGTAGCATAATTGTTTCTAATCTAAGGAAGACTCCTGAAACAAGTTAAATTTAAAGGAAAAAAAGAGAAGGAAAGAAGGAAAGAAGACCAGCAAAAGGGAAGAGGAAGAATATACAGTACAATTTTATGAGAATCTTATCAAAAACTAACTTCTTCTGAAAGCTTTTAACTCCCCCTGTGAAATTAAAGAGGAAAGATATGAGAGGGAGACATGGAAACAGTGATTCAGAGAGCAGCCGAGGAGCGTGCACAGCCGGGAGCGTGCACAGCCGGGAGCGTACACAGCCGGGAGCGTGCACAGCCAGGGAGCGTGCACATCTGGGAGCGTGCACAGCCAGGGAGCGTGCACAGCCGGGAGCGTGCACAGCCAGGAGCGTGCACAGCCAGGGAGCGTGCACAGCCAGGAGCGTGCACAGCCAGGGAGCGTGCACAGCCAGGGAGCATGCACAGCCGGGAGCGTGCACAGCCGGGAGCGTGCACAGTCGGGAGCGTGCACAGCCAGGGAGCGTGCACAGCCGGGAGCGTGCACAGCCAGGGAGCGTGCACAGCCGGGAGCGTGCACAGCCAGGGAGCGTGCACAGCCGGGAGCGTGCACAGCCAGGGAGCGTGCACAGCCAGCCATGAGCGTGCACAGCCGGGAGCGTGCACAGCCGGGAGTGTGCACATCCGGGAGCGTGCACAGCCAGCCGGGAGCGTGCACAGCCGGGAGCATGCACAGCTGGGAGCATGCACACTCAGTGCAGTCCACCAAGGCAAGCATCAGGTTCAACATCTCTCATCTACAGAGGACTGAAGTTTGTATCTGATATAAGTTTCTTCTAAGACAGAGTAAAATAATAAAAAAGTGTCTATGTCAACCAGTGTAAATCATTTCAGCACCATACTGCCCTATTGTGGTATACAGGAAGTATTCATTTTTAATTTATATACTATACATCAACTTCGTGTATATAATGTCTTTTTGTCAAAGTCTCCGTTATCTTCTCTTATCCCCTTTCCCCACCACAAAATCCCTTCTTCTTCCCAAGTCCTCTTCCTGGTCTTAGTCATGGGTGCTGAGGAGTGACCACCCTCCCTGTATGTCCTTTAACTGCCTGTACCTCTGAAAAGGGTTCATAGAAGGTGGTAATTTTTATACCAGTGCTGAAGCATGGGCTTGAATTCCTTAAACACTACCTTTATGATATTACATACCTTGACAACACACAAGACTCCTTCATTTGTATTCGGATCTGTTGTGATTTTGAAGTTCCCATTTTCATTTCCTTGGAGAATCGTGTATACTGCCTTTGAGTGAGGAGTGTTGGGCAAATCTTGATCTTGTACCATCATTCTTAGAATCTCAACATCGATTCTGTTTTCTTCTACTTCTGTAGTATACTGGGGGGGGGGGGGGAATGTCCTTCTAATTACACATCTGCAGCTTTAACAAAGTGACTTTTTTATTTAAAATTATATTTAAAGAATGTAATATGGAGGTAATAGATGCTCATAATTTGGAAAAGAATTTATGTTTCATGCCTGGCTAACTGCTTTCTTCCTAATTCTCTTTTCAAATCTCTTCCATTCACCAAAGGTGACTCATCTCTTGACCTTACATCACTGAGGTGATTTTCTGTCTCTCTGGCCCTCAGATTTATCTCTTCTCTGACCCTATATGACATTGGCATTTTGTTTCCTCTTTATACATAGCAAACACCAATTAAATTACACTAACATATTAATCACACAATACTTGTAGATAATGAGAACATATATGATGGGTTTTGGGCTTCACAGTATTGTGGGCTGACCCTGGTGCCTCAAGTATGAAATGCCAGAGCTCTAAACCTGAGCTATGGCTGCAGCTCAGAATTACCAGTTTTCACAATAATCTTGTTTCTGCTGACTTTGATTCACAAGCAAACATTTTAAGAAAAAGTTTTCTCTCTTTTTGAGAACTTAAATCATAGACATCACTCTTTGAAATTAATAATAAATTAATTAAAATATTAAATTAAAAAATTAATAATAAAAACTAAAAAGATAAGTCATAATCTACAAGAGATGTAAGATGAATTCAAAGGAAAATGAAAAGGATTGGATCTAGATTTAAATCCTACTTCTCCTGATTTATGGTCTTAATGAATGAGATCTTTGACAGTGAACTGTCCATCATTGTATTAGGTTTCTTATTCTCACTAAAACTCTGGTGTAGTTCATGAAAAAATGAAAAGTTGCCCATTAAAAGTCAGAAAAACAACCACTCCTTGGAAATTTCATCATATATTATGCCTCACATAATTTACTAGCTAAGACACAACACAGGATGAGCTGGGGGTAGGACTTCACTCTGACCCCAGCAGAGGATAAAAGGCCAATCCCTTTCCTTCTTCAGAACTATCAATACACAGGACACTGGAAAGAAAGCCTCTTTTTCAACATATAAATGAATTAAAGTCCAAGGATCCCAAAACTGGAGCAACCTTAATAACCAAGAAAACATTGAACACGTGACACACATAAGAGGGGAGGAATTCTTCACTGGCCAAGAGCAAGGCCGCTTCCTTACATCCAAAGCTGCAGCACCTTCGCTAGTCTTCTTACCCAAACCATGTTTTTCTCACTCTACTGTTTTTAAATGATTATTATTTAAAACAAAATGTTCTCAGGGAGCTGCCAAATTCTAGATTTTTTTTTAATATGAAGAAACCTAGATAAACAATACACAGGTCCACTCACAGAAGTTTGGGTGAAATATGGTGAGTTGTCGTTCTCATCCTCCAGTGAGATTGTGATTGTTCCTGTGGTGAAGAGACCGAAGGGCTGGCCCCCCATGTCTCGGACTTCCATCACTAGCTTGTAAGTATCACATTTCTGTAAAGAAAGAAAGGAAGGAAGGAAGGAAGGAAGGAAGGAAGGAAGGAAGGAAGGAAGGAAGGAAAGAAGGAAGGAAGGAGAGAAGGAAGGAAAGAAGAAAAGAAAAGAAAGGAAGGAAGGAAGGAAAGAAGGAAGGAAGGAAGGAAGGAAGGAAGGAAGGAAGGAAGGAAGGAAGAAAAGGAATATTACTGAAAAATGTATCTATTTCCCCTCACAGTTATCTTATATACTCCTTGTGCTGTGGTTATATTACAAATATGCTTTAAAAATTTAGTATGTCTGTATTCACATAGCTGCATGCCCATCCCTGAATATTATTTAATAAAAACATTATACTTACAAATACAAAACAAGAAATTGAGCAAATAGTACAGCTAATTCCAACTGTCACTCTGCCTGGACTTTGAATCACCTAGGAGACACACCCCTGCACGGGTCTGAAAGGGCATGTCCAGAGGTTTCACTGAGGAAGAAGACACCATCCTGTGTGCTTAGGGACAGCACCATCCTTTGTGCTAAGATCCCAGACTTATGTAAGGGGAAATGGAGATAGACAGCTGACTGCAGCATTCAGCTCTCTGTGGTTCCTGACTGTGAAGTGTGACCAGCAACCTCACACCACGCCTTCCTGCCATGGTGAACTGAACCCTCAGGGCTGAGCACAAATAAAACCTTCCTTCCCTGAGTTACTTTTGTCAAGGATTTTGTCACAACAAAAGAAAAGGAACCAACTACTCAGATTTTACATGTCAAATTTAAACTTATCCATTCATACTTCACAAAACTGAAGTCAAACTCAGATACTCCTTAGCTGAGAAATGAGTAAATAGACTGATATATTCAGACGATGGAAGAATAGTTTGTACTTAAAGTAATGAGCTATTGAGTCACATCATGAAAAGACACGAGGGAAGTGCAGATTACTGGGAGAAGGCAGCCAGTCTGGAAAGGCTTCATATTGTATGGCTCAGATTGTGACATTCTGAGAAAGGTGTAACTATGAAGAATCTCTCTCCCTCTCCTTCCCCCTCTCTCTATATGTATGTATAGATATAGATATAGATGATATATCAGTGATTTCAGGGGTTCAGGAGAGGGGAGTAGCTATAGACGATAGACCTGTAGCAGTGGACCTGTGCAGCATGGGAAATGGAAGCAAATGAGAATCCATTGACTCTCTGCTCTATTTACCAGCAACTCTAAAACTGCTTTAATAAAACACTTTATTGATTTTTCTAAATGACATACATTATAATGAAATTACTGTTTCAAAATCAGAAATGAAATAAATTAGAGCAATGTTATCAGGAACTCGCATCAGCACACTGAGAGCACGTCAAACCTGTCTTTACCTTGTACTATCTCAGCATCTCTGCAGAGGCAAAAAAGCCTCCAGAGAATCCCTGGGCACAGCCTGGGAAGAATGCTTAGGGAGTAGGCACACTGGCTGTACTATAATCATCCTGGCAGTAATTACCGGCTTAAACACAGTGACTGACGAATTAATGCACTGATCCATTACCTCTCTGTCCAGTAAAGGTGAGGTGGTAGTGATCACACCTGTGTCTGGGTGTATGGCGAAGTGCTTTGGGTGATCTGGGATTTGCTGTAGAATTTTGTATTTCAGACGAGTATGTAGGGTTCCTGGTTCATCATTGTCTATGGCAGTCACTTGTCCCACCGAAGTTCCTGTTTAGATAAAGCTAGTACTGTCAAAAATTTAAATTATGACATCATTGAGTTATAAACAAAAAACACAGGCATTGTTGCAATAGATTGTCAACACACACACACACACACACACACACACACACACACACACACACACACACACCAGTGACGTTTACATTGTACAAATGTTTGTGCAAACTTCCCCAAGCACCTCTTATTGGAATTTCAGCTAAGTGTATACTGTGAAAAGCATGGCTTGTATTTTACACATAAGAAAATAAGACCTTTGGTAACAATGACTCCCAAACTCTTTTTCCCAACAACAATTAGCAGTTAACAGCAGTTCATGAACTGCTTTTAAATGGTGACTTCTCTCTTGCAGTACAACTTAGTACAATGTTTTTGTATAGCAAAGACTTTACATTTTATGTTTTAGTAAGAGTGCTGAATTATTCATAGATGAAAGCAGTTGTTAATATGTGAGAGAACTGAATGCAATACAGTAGTCCGTTGTTCAGAGGATATTCATAGACTGAACATGAAAGCTTTCTGGTCACTTCTGAGAGAGCAGCATCAAATCTACACATGGACCCAGCAACAGAATGCAGAGAGCCATAACTAACATATCTTAGAAGTGTTTTAAACAATGGCCAGTTTTCTTACATTCTTCCAGAGGCTTAGGGCACAATCTTGGCTTTGTGTAGTCTCTCTGAATTCATGTTAGATTCCTTCTCCTAGAATTCTCCCAGGTGAATGAGAATGCAGCAATTCTTTCTGCACTACAATATTTCTATGATATCAAAAATTAACCTTAGGGAGAACTGAATCAGATAAAGTTTACCAGAATTATGGTCATGGTATGAAAAGGAAAAGATATGAACTTATTTGAACTATAAGATCAAATTTAAGAAAACTTGCTCAGACCAATCTAACCCTTAATAGAAAAACCATTTCTAACAGGGAAACAAAAGATGAGTATAATCCAAAGTACCAAAACAACATGAAGTGAAATTATAAAATTAAACTTCTATTGAGACAGTGTCTCTCTATGTAGCCAAGACTGGCCTTATGAAGTCATGATTGGCCTTGAGTATACATGTCATTGACCTCTTTTTTTCTGGGTGCTGGGTTTTAAGGTATGTGCCACCATGCCTTGCAGTATTTTGAAGTGCAAATGATCTTCTTATTATGTCACTATAGAATCTCAGGCCAGCAAGATGGCACAGTGGGTAATGGGGCTTGTCGCTGGGCCTGATGATCTGAGTTCAAGACCCCAAATCCACTGTGCAAGGAGGAATCTCATTCTTGACAGCCTCATACATGCGTGCGCGCGTGCGCGCACGCACACACACACACACACACACACACACACACACACACACACACACACACACACACAATATACAGACACACACACGTACATGCACACACATAGGGGCACACACACACATAAATTATAAATGCTTTTTAATGTGAACTCACCAGATCGGCAATTTTCAGGCACACTAAAAACTGTCAGTTTGGTTTCAAAATATGGGGCATTGTCATTGTCATCTTCAACCTTGAACAGCAAGGGCAGAGGATAGTCTGGGGCATAGCCATCAGCAGTGGTTGCATATCCATACACCTGGAAGGAAGAAAACATTATCAGCTAGTTCTTATGTGACAAATTCTGCACAAAGGGAGGCCCAGAGTAGGGCAAAGGGTGTTGTTTACAAACATCATGCACAGGCATGTGTAGCTAAGAAATGATGCAATGTACAGAACGCATGGTCAGTGTGTGCACACACCATGTAGCTTCAGCCTCCTTGAAAAGTTGGTTCTCATTATTCTCCTACCAAAGTCCCATGCACTCCCGTTACCATGAGCTCCAATTGCTCTCAGAATTAATCATGTGTCTTTTGACTTGTTAGAACATAGGTAGACCCATTGCAGTTATAACAACTACTATCAAAACTTATAAATGTTTCAATTTTAATATACCCAGATACTTATCACAATTATATCGGGGTGATATCTCTACCTGTATTTTCTATCACTAATACGTTTCTAATAAAATGCTAATAAAAACATATTCCTATGCTAAACTACACGACAATAGGATAATCTTGACCCCAGCTGCCAGGATTTAATGTTTTTTTCCCTCTAATTCCATACAGTTATTTTTGTACTCTCTTTATGTGGTTGGTGCATAGTGGATATTCAGTAAGTACTTATTGAATCACTATCCACAGTCCACTATCCTAACTGACACTCCCATCCCCACACCACCATTGCCATCATCACCATCATCACCATAACCTCCATCACCATCACCTCCATCACCATCACCATCACCATCACCATCACCATCACCATCACCATCACCATTGTGGTGGTGTGAATGAGAACGGCTCCCAGTGATTCCTATGTTGAGCATTTGGTCCCAATCTGTGTGATCTTGTTAGAGGAGGTTTGTCACTGGAGTAGGCTTCAAGGTTACATAAGCCCATCCCAAGCCTAGTCTCACTCCCTCTGCCTGCAACTTTCAGATCAGATGTGAGCTCTCAGCTGTTGCTCCAGTACCACACTTGCCTGTGGCTACACTCCCCACCATGATGATTATGGACTAACCCTCTGAAACTGTAAGCAAGCCCCCAATTAAATGACTTTTTTGTATGTTGCCTTGGTCATGCTGTATCTTCCTATCAATAGTAACCCTAACTAAGAAACCATCATCACCACCATAACTACCATGGCATATCATCACCATCACCACCATCACCAGCATCGTCATCACCATCACCAACATCATCATACATAACCACCACCATCATCACACTACACCTTTGCCGCCATATTTAGAACATTTAAATGTCACACTATCCAGCCTTCCAACAATTCCCCTCCTCTCCCCCTAGGTTATATGAATTTTTTCTCAAAACACTGGTCTTAAATTTAAGACTAGATGAAAGCATGAAATTATCTATGAGACTACAAATGCCCTCAAACATGAAGCTGGAGAGTCACAGGTATTTCCCTGCAACACCTAACACAGTTACACAGTGCCTTATATTTGATAAGTTTTTAATTTTAAAACTTTCTATTCTAGTCAGTCATTTGCTCTTTTATAAAGACAAGTTACTCCTTCTGCTTAAGACTTCTGTATTAATTCTTCTACCTTATCACAGAGGCATCACAGCATCTCCCTACCTTTTGCTTATGGTGACTTCTGCCTGTTTACTCTACCATTGGAGATCATGTTTCCTACATGTAGGAAACACTAGTAGCTTTAAATAAGAACATCTCATCCATTGATATTTGACTGCATATAAGAATGCTTTTACACCCACTTGTTTGGACTCAGTGATCTTGCATCATATGCTATATTGGTTTTAGTTTTCACTAGTAATGAGTCTAGAATCCCTCCAAGAAATTCTAATTGAAATTGTTTCAAACAAGATGATTAAAACTAGGAAAGCTATTGGTTCACAGTTCATGTGTTTCTACTAGTTTGGCTAGTTGTCTCTGTACTTTTTCCAATCATGGTCTCGATATCTCTTGCTCATATAATCCCTCCTCTCTCTCTCTCGTCAATTGGACTCCTGGACTCCACCTGGGACTTGGCCATGGATCTCTGCATCTGCTTCCATCAGTCACTGAATGAAGGTTCTATCATGACAGTTAAGGTGTTTGGCCATCCAATCACCAGAGTAGGTCAGCTCAGGCACCCTCTCAACCATTGCCAGTAGTTTATAGTAATCTTTGTGGATTCCTGGGGAACCTCTCCAGCACTCTGCTTCTTCCTATTCCCATGGTGTCTTCATTTATCATGGTATCTCTTTTGTTGTTCTCCCACTCTGTTCCTGATCCAGCTAGGACCTCCCGCTCCCCTAAGCTCTCATTCCTCCAACCCTTGCCCTCCATTACCCCTCCTCACCTCCAGTTTGCTCATGTAGATCTCATCCATTTCTCCATTGCTGGGTGGTCCCTGTGTCTTTCCTAGGCTCCTCTTTACTAGCTAGCCTCGCTGGAGCTATGAGTTGCAGGCTGGTTATCCTTACTTTACATCTAGTATCACTTATGAGTGATAGCTGAGGAGCCCCCATGGTACTCAACTAGGCCCTCTGGATAAGTGAGACAGTTGTTTAGCTTGAACTTTTAAGGGGACCCCAGGCAGTGAGACTGGGACCTGTCCCTAGTGCATGAGCCGGCTTTTTGGAAATTAGTGCCTATGCTGAGACACTTTGCTCAGCCTTGGTGCAGGGAGGAGGGACCTGGATCTGCCTCAACTGAATGTACCAGGCTCTTCTGACTCCCCAGGGAGACCTTACCTTGGAGGAAATGGGAATGGGGGTTGGGTTGGGAGGGAAGGCTGGGGGTGGGAGGAAGGAGGACAGGAGAATCCATGGTTGATATGTAAAATGAATAGAAAATCTCTTAATAAAAAGAAAGAAAGAAAAGAAAAAAAAAAACTAGGAAAGCATCTAACATTGAAGCCTGGCCTCAATCTCTCAGAGAATCTGTTCATACTTAAATAATTATTAACAACTAAATATAGGTATTCTCTTAATTAGTCCTTATAGACTTAAAAACCTCAAGTAATGCTTTTATGTACTATCTGGATGCCATTGTTATATAATAAAAGCAATATAATGCATTAATGTTAGTATGATGATAATAGTAATATTAGTCATATTTAACTGAATTAAGGATACTATTTCAGTGTCATGGATCTGTTATTTTTTCAGTCTTTCCCTTTTCAGTTTTTGTCTGGAGGAATATATTTCCTTCAGCCCTTCTGTGTTTTCCTTTGTTGAAATGTCTGTCATCTTTGCGAACATTCAAACAACTTCATCAGGATTTGGAACTGAAGTCTGGCCTCACAGTGAGAGTAACTAGCATAGACTGAGCAAGGAAGGAGAAGAGCATGATGAAACTGTGTGGGCCTGGAAGGGCCATAAGCAACATGCGCAGAAAGACAATGGGCAGAACTGCATGTCTGGGAACAAGATCAACATCACTACACAGGATACTTCTGGTTGGAAATGGAAGAAGAGGGCAGGGTTTTTTAGATTTTTTTTCAAAGGTGCAAATCTCCAGCAGCTAGAGCAGAAAAGCTTTGCAATTGTCTTTGTGGAATAATTTGGAATGGATAAAGAAATCTCCCATCTTATAAAAAAAAATACATAGAAAGCTCTCCTCTTATTAGATAAACTGTCAAAAATGCTCTGTCATGAATCACTATAAGATTAGGCAAATTTAATGATTCAAAAAAAAAAAAAAACTTGCTAAACTGCAATAATGGAGTGACCTGACTGGAAAATCTGAACTCCCTTCATAGACATTTCTCTTGGCTAGACTCCATCAGCAAAGAATATGGTTATCCCTTACAGTTGAGAATTGTAAGAACTTAACTAATGTCTGTCATTAATCATCCTCCTAAGCTAAGGGGGATATCTCTTATATACCAGTTAAAGATTAGACTGCTAAACAGATGTTTGGATTTGTCTTTAGGTAGAAGACTAAGATAGATTGGTAAGTAAATTCTAGATGCCTAGGAAGATTAAGTGCTATTCAAGGGTTAAATCTCTGAGGAATGGAGGAAGAAAAAAGTAGCATCACACTAAGCAAGGCCTGAAATGGTGGACCCAACCGACTTAGATACACATTCAGAATCCCTTGAGTGATGGAGCCCAGCTCAGACAGCTAGGTCAGACTTTCTGGGCATGGGCCCAAGTATCAGTTTTGCTTATCTTGTTTTTTAGATCGCATATGTTTTACAACATAAAAACATGAGTGACAATAACTGAAGTATTTTATTATAGAGAACTTTGAACCCAAAGAAAAATCTTTGTTATTTCTCCAGAGTTTATAGATAAACATCTATTCTTGAGCTATGTCATTGCATTTTTACACATCTTCCCATCCTCTGCTTATATGCTCCCCATATTGTACCCACTGCCATTTTTTCAGCCTAGCACCAATGGAACTTTGAAGTTTATATTGAATATTAATAACATTCTACATATTAAATGAATTATTAGATGCTTAATATTTGTAAAAAATGTTTACAATAGTAATACATGAATAATATGAATAACAAACACCTAATGTTAAATAAATACTTCAGTGATCTTACCAAAAATTGGTCATATTGCTCACGGTCAATGCTTCGGGTACAATAGATGTCCCCAGTGTCCTTCTCTATGAAGAACAAATTGAAAGGCTCTTTGTCCACTCCTGGTCCACTAATGGAGTAAAAGATGGTGTAATTCTGGGCAGCATCAGATTGGATCTATAACAAGAAGAGATAATTTGGAGACAGAACAAGTACATCTTGATCACTATCTTAATCTAGCCTCTTGTGAGAGTTTACTTTTAATCACTTTCTCTCTTTCTTTTGTTCCTTCTTCCAACATCTCCCATTTTTTCAAAATCTTATCTCCATCCTGCCATGTGTGAAGCCACAGACTCTGCCCTTTGCTTGATCCCTAATGTCTGTGCAGTTCTGAGGCCCATGGAGCAGTGTGCCTTCACTGTCCTGTTCTGTTCCTGTACACAGTGCAGGACACCTTTCTGTGACTTCCAATTATTTAACACTGAAAACTGTATGATCACAGGCAAAGCAATACAACTTCTTGCACTGTTAATTCTACTGACCTCAGATTGTTGCAAAGCTGCCCTATGCTTGCATTTCAGCTGTGTGGCAGCAAGGCAGCTCACTTACTAACCCAAAAAGTGACCAATTTTTTAGGGGATAAATGTTCATTTAAGCCAGAGTTGGGTTATGCAAAATTGGTATATTTACTCTCTGCCGAGGAGAGCTTAGAAATCTAGCATAGAGTTGGAGAGATGGCCCAAGAGTGCAGGTGCTTGTCACCAAGCCTGACCACCTGAGTTCAAATCTTGGCACCCTTATGGTGGAAGGAGAGAACCAACTGTTCCTAGCCATCTGAGGACCCATGCATATGTATTTCTATGGCACAGGCATGCCCTCTACCCCAAATAAATAAATACAATGTTTAGAAAAAACTTTAAAAAATAGTATTTGGATGAAGAAACTCTATAGAGTTTCTCCATGTTCCTCATTATAGTGAATAGATGATACCAGTAGTATTAATAATTTAAGTTCCTCGTTCAATATATTGTACACTATTTGTTTATGTACTTTATTGGGGATAGAACTTAGGACCTTGTGCATGCTTGGCAAACAGATTACCACTGAGTCACATCCCCAGCCCATTAAAGTTGCGCCTTAGTTGTGTAGCTTGGTCCTCTTGTGGGACTCCTAGCAAGTGGGAGCAGGGGCTGTCTCTGATTCTTTTACTGGCTTTTGAGACCCTGTTCCTCAGACTGGGTTGCCTTGCTCAGTCTTAATACGAGGGGAGGTAATTAGTCTCATTGCAACTTGATATGCCATGTTTGGCTTGTATCCATGGGAGGCCCGCCCTTTCCTCAACAGAAACCAAGGAGTGGATGGGGGGGAACAGAAGAGAGGTTATGGGAGTGGGGCTGGAAGAAGAGGAGGGAGGGGAACTATGGTTGGGATATAAAATAAACAAACAAATAAATAAAAACTTTAACACATATGAAATTTTAACAAAAACCATGGGACAGACCTGCTGAACATGTTGTGGAAATGGACCTAATGAGTTCTCCATCAGCGAACATGGAATAGGAGCCCATCTTCTCTTACTGCGCGTGTGCACTGGGTCTTTGGTCTGTCTCTTCCTAAAAACCTACATTTGATGAGCAATGAAATACAGCTTTACTTAGCATTATTAAAACTGTGAATTTCTGTGTACTCCAAGATGGAGAAAATAAGTAAGAGTGATACATAACAATATCATGAATAATCCCTAAAGAATTTGTATTATGTTTTTTCAATAAACACACACACACATACACACACACTCACACACACACACACACACACACACACACACACACACACACACACACACTAACCTCTTACTACATCATATTGCCTAGTTCTATCAGTTTCCTGATGTAACTAGTTAGCAATCAGAATTTGGTTGGTCATTGATATAAGCATCTTTGAGAAGCTGTAGACTTTCCCTGCCCCACCCCCACATAATCAATTAACAAATACTTAAGAACTGGCTTCATTTCATGAAGCATGGTGCAGGTGAAATCCATGTAAACCCTGTCTATAAATATTTATGTTCCACCACAAAAACGTGAACAGCATTTATTCAAGCAGCTTTCATGCAATTTGGATAAAAAGAATAATGCTTTATAAGCATGAATTATATTTTAAATTCAAAGAAGAGTAGTCTTTGCAATCAAAAGAGGTTTAGTTCGGAAATCTGTTTATAAATTTAATCAGTAGTTTTATGAAACTCAGTCATTATGCTGAGTTTACTTAACGTGTGGCCATCTTCTCATGCCCAGGACTCATCACCCTTACCTACAAGACAGTGGGTTGAAGACCCATACCCCTTGTGGCCAGGCCATACATCCACTCTAAAGACAGGGAGGGGCCCTATGGAGTTTTCTGCTATGCGAATGGGTCCCTTGATGAGTACCACAAGCCCCACTGGAAGGAAGCCACAGGGTGGAGTGGCCCTGCTTGCCCTGCTTGCTTGTTCTCTGAGACCCGCCCCAGCCTTGTTCTTGTTCTTCAGGCTAGCTGTTCTTCCCACCACACCTCCAAGTTTATCTGAAACCTGTGATCTTCCGACGCTGCTCACTGGCCGTGGTCTTCTTCCTCAATACTAACTGGGTAAATGATGGTGGATATGCCACTCTTTTTAACAGTCCAGTCCTCACTTATGAGAATGTTGAGAGCAAAAGACAAAGGAATCATTCAAGGATGGCTTTAGGCTTGCGGATGCAATGGGAGCCCTGTAAGGACATCCTGCCCTAACCTGCTTTACCTTCTTTTCTCTTGCTGACAACTCAATTTCTATTTCCTTTTGTTCCTGCCTCTGACTGTCTGAGAGGAAGATGGAGAACCTCTTCTGCTCAGAAGACAAAAGCAGGTCATGTGTTGTATAAATTGTGCCGTCTTCTAGAATTCTGAAGGCTGGGTCACTGGACAGGATCAGGCTGGGTGACTTGAGGCACTCCTCCAGATTCACTGCAGGAAAGGTATTTCACAGCAATGTCAGGTTAAACCAGAAGGGAACGAGTCTTACAGGAATTACAACTGCCAGTTGACATGAGAGGAGCAGAAAGAGGGTGGGACGCTGAACACCTGCTTTTCTAAAACGTAGGGGCTATGAAAATTAAACTAGTGGAGTTTTGGTCTCCCCTCTGCCTTTCCCTTCCCTCCCTCTCCCTCCCTCCCTCTCTCCTTCTCTCCCTCCCTCCTTCCTTCCTTCTGTCCTTCCTTTTGTCCTTCTGTCCCTCCCTCCTTAGTTCTGTACTTTCTTCTGTCCTTCCTTCCCTCCCTCCCTCCCTCCCTCCTTTCTTCTTGGCAGTCAGTGCTAAGGAAACAACCCAGAACCTCATTCAGGAAAGTCAAGCCTCTACCAACTGAGCTGCATCCCTGCCCCTCCCATTACTTTCATCATGAATTAATTTAAGAAATAAACTATTCTGCAGCTTTATTGGTTTTGGTTTGCTTCTCCTTTCCCTAGTATCCAGGGGTTTGTGTACACAGGTCCTTGACTTGCAGTGGTTCAACTTCATGGGAGTGTGAAAGTGATACACATGTGGCAGCAACTGACTTTGAGCCTGGGGCTTTAATACTGATCTTTTTTTCAAGCTAAGGATATATGGTAAAGTCCTCCCTCCTGATGCTAGCCAGGGTTATGAACTGCTCCTAGTGATCCTTGAATAGGGAGATAGTAAGGGACCATGGTGGAAACTGTACAGTGGACCCTGTGGCTAAGATACGATGCTTGGTAGGTTAGATATACTGAATGCATTTCCCCCTTACTTTTAACTTATAATGGGTTTAAGAGGATGTGGTGACTCCATCATAAATCAAGAGCTATCTGGAGGTAGATAGGTTAATATGTATGTATTTATATGTTTATAGATAACATATATAAACATGTATATACATATATGTGTATAAATACATATAATGCACTGTATACATATATACATACAATGCACTATGAAGTAGAAATTTATATATATACAATTACAAATATATAAATTTCTGTTTCATAGTGCATTTTTGACTTACATAGTTTTAAACTGCATTTTTTATAAGATGGTGTTAGTAGATTTTGAGATTAAGTTAAAATTTATTTGGCAATAAGATAAAAGTTATGTTGTAATAGGTGAGAAACCTAGTCTGTTCTTGTGCAATATTTCTCACTAATGATGCAAATAATCTTCATGTAAAATCTATTTAAGGTTTGAAAAACTCGGTGCTTAATGCATATTGATGATTGTAGTAGTAGAATCCACTGACATTGTATTTGACTTTCACAAGTTATTCTGTGAAGTAGACATTATAAATTTTCAATAAATGTGTATTCATTGCTACCCACCACAAGCACAGATTTGATATGGAGCATTTCAACTTTGAGATTTGTTTCATGTTTCATCAGCCAAGAAACTTGACCCTGGAATTCTGGCAGCAGAAGAATTGACATGATTTAAGGTACACTTCTAGTGCTGATGCTTGGCTTTGTTTAAACTAAAATAATTTTTTTTCCTTCCCTGAGGTTTGCTAACTTGTCTAGCAAGAAAGATACACAACCGAATTTGATAGTTTGACTTCCTTCAACCACCATGAATAAAAAGGGAGCTACTTTCCAATGTAGGGCAAGGTTTAAAACTAAGTAGCAATTATATAACTTTCATCCCAAAGTTTCCAAAAGCAGCCCCAAACTAATTTCAGTAAGTTACAATTCCCAGGACAGAGTCTCACCTTTGCCTACAGGTGTTTCAGCTTTAAGATGAGAGGGAATTTGAAGAGAAATTTTTTGACAGGCATCGCAAAATAATACCAGAACCTCAAAAAAAAAAAAGAACAAATTCAAATATCACATTTGATCACGTTTTTCTTTACATTGCAATTTTGTCTGGTTGATAAAATTACTATCAATTTTAGAAACAAATGGATCTTTTTAATCCTCTACTTTTTCCTATTCATTTAGAAAGTGATTGGCACAGTCTTTGGGATCGCCAGGGTCATTTAGTATCAATGAAAAAGTTAAGTGAACAGTTCCTAGGACTACAACATTATTATATAAATGCAGCAAAATATATTATGATCCATTGAATTTATTGTATTGCCTCCAAGACTCTCTACAAACCTCACAGATCTTTGGCCTTGAAAAGTACTGAATTCTAGAATTCTATAAGCATTGATGTACTAACTCTCTCCAACCTTTTCTAAAACTACTTGAGGTTACTATTGAGGAAGCAAGAAATATTTGAAGTGTTTTTGAGGTTCATAAAAATAATACTTAGAACCAACCCACTGTCATTAAATCACTTTTTAGACTGTCTTAGAAAAAAAATCTTCAAAGTATGTTTTCAAACAACCTAGCTAAATGATTTAAACTAACAGAATTTTCTGAATTTCAATTATATTCAAGGCACAGCTATTGCTATAAAAATCTAGGAACTCCAAAGCAGACAGAAAACTATTTTAAAAAAATGAAAGTTATGAGCTCAGAGAATTCTATAAATTCAAAATAATTTTATTTCTTTTGCAGCACTTTATTTGCTTTTTTCTCTTTATTAAAATAATTCCATGCCTATTTTTTTTTTTAAAAAAAAGGACCACAGCAAGATTTCCCAGAATCACACAGATTACTTTGTGTTCAGTTTTTCTCAAAGACCAAGTTCTGAAGTCATGGGATATGCTATTTGTGTGAGGATGAGCAAAATGGTTAATGTTCATGTTAAGGATGCTGTATCCTTCTAACTCAACTCAAGTCTACCAGATGTATCATAGCAGCTTAAAACAGATTGTAAATTTGTTTTACAAATCTGTTAGGCATATAATGTGGCAAGCTACCATTTTATAGGTCACATTTGCATACAACTGCAATTTAAATAACCACTTATGAAAACAAGAGGCATTCTTATTCATTTGGCTTTTTAGAAATATCATCATCCCTAATACCAAGAATTGCACTAGTCTGTGCCTCAAGCCTTGCTGAAGATAAAGTTTAGGTAGGTAATTGTCTACATGTATAGCGTGGGTAAAGCCCATCATAATTAGAAATAGATGCATATACATATACATTTATATATGCATATACCTATGTATGCATATATGTGTGTACATATATTTTACAGAATACATCCACATTTCCAAAACTATCCTCATTTTAGTTCCTCCCTCTCTTAAGACCCCCACCTCAGGAATTCACCTTCTGTAGACACAAACAATGGAAGTTTCCAGAACTTCAGTAGTCCCTCTGCCTCCAAGTTAAAATTGGGGTCTAAATGACTTGGAAGGAGTTGTGACCTTTCCAGTCAGTATAGGATTCAAGGATGAAAGGACAAAGGATGAATCAAGGGATAAAGGGCTGTGTGGGGACCAGAACCAAAAGCAAGAAGAGACTGGGTTTAACCACATTTTACTTAACGGACACTAACTCCAGGTGGTCTCTGTGTGCTCTTCTCCCAGATAGTCACAGGGTGAGAAGTGGACCATCAACCCCGCACTATGAATTATTCATATGAAGAAAATGTTTGTGCTCATTCATGAAAATCCCCAAATTCTGAAAAGATAATTTACAACTAAAGTACTTTTGGTAAAATAAAAAAACTAAATTAAAAACCAGGGGGTCACAATGCAGAATTTCGAGATGGAGATTTGAGAAGCTTTCCCATCAAAGGTAAACATAGCATCCTGTAAACAGTTCAGAGTGGTCACAACCCAAGTGAGCGGCAACTTCCTGGCAATTCCAGTGACTGTCCCATTCCTCTTGTTGAGTTGAACTGCAGCCTCACATGGAAAGGTCTACCCTTCTTTAAAGGCTTCCTGAGTGAACTAAGAACATCTTGAGTAAGTCATAGCTGCACCCAGAATCCTTTTCTCTTTTTACTGCTCAGTGGACTAGCATGTTAAATGCACGAGCTTTGAAAATGCCTAGTGTCTAAAGCAAATCTCCGAAACTTCTGGGCCAAATTCCAAAAAGTTATTTCACTACTCCTTAGAAGAAAACACCACAGAAAGCTGAATGAGGGATTCCCTTGAAAGACATTACCACACAGGCATTGGAGCTTGGAGAGTAAGCTTATTCCTCCCCATTCTGGATCGATCACAAGCCCCTCTGCTCTTCTCTGAATTGCTCTCAAATCAGCTTTTCTTTTCCTCTGTCTATCCTGGCTGCCTTCCTTCCTGCCAAGACTCACTTTCAAGACCCAGCTGGCAGGAGGAAGCAGGTGAAAGCATGCCTAGTTCCCTAATCCTTTGGATGTTACTCACCAGGAGAGAGAAAAGGAGCTGCTTAGAGAAGGTGCTCCCTGGGGCAGCGAGGGCCACAGCCATCAGAAGAGGTCCCAATGGCCAGGGACGGTGGGCAGCTAATGGGGTGGCCTGGAGTGCACAGGGAGGCTAAGCAGATGCCACCACTTGTCAAGATGTTCTGGAGCCAAGTTGGCACAGATGAGGAGGCTTTGGAAGAGAGTCAGGAGACAAGTGATAAGAAACAGGAGGAGGAGCGACAGATGGCCTCCTTCCCTGGCCAGTCTTCCTCCTTCCAGTCCAACTCTCTGTGAATGTAGAGAGGTTTCCTACAAGTGAGGAGAGGGAGGCACAAAACACCCCATGCCCAGCCACTGGCTCCTCCTCAAAGCAGCTTTCAAAATTTCTCCTGCCACTTAACACATAGTCAGAAGCAGAAGACAACACCCTCCATCCTCAGCCCTCCTCCCTTTACCCCCAGGTAGAGGCTGTGAAGTCCTCCCAGTTATTATGTCCTCCCACAGCCTCCCCTCCTTCTTGGCCTTATTAACCTGCCTTGCCCCCCGGGTGCAAACAGGAATTTTGCATAAACCCTATGCCAAAAAAAAAAAAAGAAGAAGAAGAAAGAGAAAAAAAGAGATGCCTTGTTGGATGCATTGGCAAATCAGAGGACATAGCCTTGTGCAATCACTTCCATCTGGAGTTATCTCCCCATCAAAGCATTCAGGTATAGCCTGTGCCACGAAGCACTACAGCTTTGCCAGAGAGATGACATTCCAGTTGATGCCACGGGTACATTGTTTTTACCCCCTATTATTTTCTGTCTCCTAGGAGTCAGTCCTCTAGACGTCACAAGGAATATCCCAAAGAATATCAACCTCATAAAAACAAAATAATAATAATAATAAAGAAACAAGGACATAGTTTTCTTATTGTTTTCTTTTTCTTATACTGGATGTATTGTCATCCCCTCCCCCTGCAGGACAGCTAAAATCTACTAGACTAATCACATTAAAAATCATTCCATTTACCCTAACTGTGCATTACAAGTAATACAGAAGCTGACCTAGAGTACTGTTGTAATGATGCCATAGTACACGGGCTTTGTAAACAACAATAACTCTCACAATGGAGACTTTAACATCTTTTCTTTTGTTTTAATTCAAGTTGTTCCGTATCAGTTGCTTTCTATGACAGTGATAGAAGTTGGGGGAAGATGATAAATATTGCCAGGTATTAAGTGTTAGATATATGGATGAAACTAAATTCACATTTTCCAGACTATTCTATGAATCAAGAGCCATAGCAGACATTTAAGTCAGTGTTCCCAATACACCAACAAGGGCTTCTTTTAGCAAATGACAGAACCTTGGGAAAGTAAACCTTATCCCTGTGTTCATGAACAAATGTGTGAAAGTGGGCCGGAGATACAGTGTAGACCATGGGTTCAGTCCCCAGCACCACACGAACCAGGTATAGTGGTGCATGCCTGTAAGCTCAGGTGAAGGTAGGGAGTCAGACATCCATGGTCATCTCTAGCTGTTTGGAAAGTTGAAGGGTAGCCTGGGATACAGGAGACTTGGTCTCAAAACACAAAGTGAAAATGCAGACACTGTAACCTACGTCTGCCTGTCACCAAAGCACTACCTTTTATTTATTTTATCTCTTAATTTGCTGAGGCTACCTAAAGGTGTGCCAACAGATGTACTCACTGAACAACTCCTGAAAGATTCACATGCCAGACTTTGGGCTCTGCTAAGAGGGACGCCATTCAAGGAGAAAAAGAACACTGGAAAGCTCATGAAGCCAAAAGTAAGTACACGTTTTGGATACTGCATAAAAGTTTAAAGGATAAGGAAAGGACACTAGAGCAAATATTAAAGATCTTAGCACTTGAGAGCAAAGTAAATAACAGATCCTGAGTGCATAATTCAGAGACTAAGGAGAATTAATTGTGTTACATAGATATTGCATAATCTCTCATTTACCACAAATTTACAGTCATAAAGAGAAAAGCTTGATGTGTAAGGCCTCACATGGTGTGTGTATTTCTTTAATCATTAGCTTAAGGTACATCAAGAAGGCATCCCTATACTAAATAGTGTGTTTTAAGGAGATACGGCAACACATTTTAGAGAAATTGATTATATGTGGCCAATTTATAGGAAGAGGTAATCAAGACAAAAATTCACAATCTTAAAACAGTTATTTTTTTTAAACAACACTAAGGTGTCTGTCAGGTGACTTCATTTATTCTAAAAGACTAGACGTGCAGGAATACTGTACTGATAAAGTTATAAAAAAAAACTACTTTGGATAGAATACATATGAGTGGAAGGAACCAAATTCTGGAGTAAAGGAAAAATTGGGCTGCAATCTTATGGGGAAAATGTATAAACAAAAGGAAAAAGAAATCTTAGCAGTTGAAAGCAACATCCTTTGTCGTTTGAGCTTAGTGTACTACAAAAACAACCAAAACAAACAAATAAAAAAATTTATTTCCTGCCATTTCCTCTGATTAGTATTTTCTCTGATGACCTTCAAAGTTGAATATTTAAAACCTATTTTTAATTATAACCTTCCTGTCAATTGTTCATTTTCTGTATTAAGCAGCACGTTATTAAATGATGACTTAGAACATGAGAATATATTTTCACTGCCTAGAGAGAAAAGCCCTTCCATTCCATTGAACTTGAAAACTGTCTGGGTAAAAGGTTAATAAACTAAGAAGTAAATTATTTGTGAAAAAATTAAGCCGGGCGGTGGTGGCGCACGCCTTTAATCCCAGCACTCAGGAGGCAGAGCCAGGTGGATCTCTGTGAGTTCGAGGCCAGCCTGGACTACCAAGTGAGTTCCAGGAAAGGCGCAAAGCTACACAGAGAAACCCTGTCTCGAAAAACCAAAAAAAAAAAAAAAAAAAAAAAAAAAAATTACTAGGAATGATTTCTGAAGGGTTCTTACAGAGATTACTAGTTAATTTTACATAAAGTGACCACTCCCAATTATTATCAAAACTGTTGTCAAGCCTAAGAAAAGAAACGTCAGCACCCATCCAAGGGCAATTTAGGGCTCTCTCAATTTAGCACACACACTTAATTCAAGCTGGTTTAAGAGAAGCATGACCTCCTTCATGAAAATGCATCACAAGTGATTTAACTGAGCATTTAAGCCATTCCTAACACTTACTCATTATAAGGACCATCTTCATACATAGAACTATTTCTTGAGCTAGAGGTTCTTTATGTTTGTTATGTTTTAAATTAACCCCCTAAGTTAAACATTTTCAGAATCTGATGTTGGAGAATTTGATAAGCTAAGACACTCATAATTCTAAATTATGCACTCTCTTGGTGAATTTCAATTAAAAAATGGCACTTAAAATCTTTAATATTCATAGTTGTGTCATATATAGCAAAACTTTCATTAGAAAGGAATATTTTCCTACACGGTTCTGTTTCTATTCTCATTAATAAGGTATATGAGGTCCTTACATTTATAGATACAATAATAATATATAGATATGCACAATATAATGTATAGAATAAATACACGATGGAAAAAGAAAAATATGTAGTAATCTGGGAATATTTTTAGAATTTTTTAGTTCTATTAAGAGCACACTTCTCCACTTTACAGTTGTGTTAACTACAGTTTCTTTTGTGCAAATGGATTAAGAGTGATTACCATTAAACAAAAGAAACTACACTCATTAAAGCATACACCCTCTATGAAACAGCCTCAATTAGCCACTGGCCTCCAATTATCATTATACTACGATGCTTCTGCAATCCATCGGTAGCAGACAGTCCTCCTGCATTGGCATAGATCAGAGAACATGAGTCTAAAAAATGCTGAGGTTGGGAACGCCCGGATTCCATTCTCAGAGTCCGGATTCAGGTTGGAATAAGCTCTATCTGTTGCAAGTCACAGATAGTGCTAGTCCACAATGTGTCTAGACCTGATAAATAATCATTCATTGTGTCTAAAATGTTGCTAGAAAATGTGAAGAAACTGTTTATGAGGATGAGTACAGTACTGGCAAATAGAAAAG